TCCCACTCTACTTTTAGAAATTCTAGAAACCTCTTTGATATGGGATTTAAATGACAGGTCCTGATCGAAAATAACACCAAGATTTTTTACTTTATTATCTGAAATCAGTTTAATCCCATCCAAATGAAGTGACTGACTAATCAGCTTCTTTTTCAGAGACTCTGGTCCAAAGACTATAACTTCTGTTTTGTCTGCATTCAGGAGCAGAAAGTTAAGAGTCATTCTAGTTCATACTTTAAACGTCAGATCCTGGTTTATGTAAAACAGCGTCAGAGTTTGATGACCTGTGAGAAATGAGTGACCTGTGAAACGTTTTGTGTTTTCAGAGGTCGGATCAAACATCTGGATGTGGTGGCGCTGCTCAGGAGGATTCAGCCTCCTCTGGGATTCGGGAAGCTTTGTCCTCACAGGGTAGCCTGTAAGGTAAGCGGGAGACATGGGAACTGCCTTCATGTACGTTTTTACTCACTCTAAGATTGGTTTAGTATTAGTGTCGCATCGATACTGATACCAGTATCAGGCGGGGCCACGATCCAGCACTATAATGGTGGTATCGGTATCGGCGAGTACCAACCAATAGGGCACCGATACCATTTTGAGAGCCATAAGTTTCTTCCACTATTGTCACCCATTCCAGGTAGGCAATAAAAAGTTCTACTGGATTCACTTTGTTTTAGTCTTTTCCTGCTTCACAAAGGAAGGCAGCAGCTGGACATGAAGCCATGATGGCGATTATTTACATCCCAGTAGTCTGCAGTTCTTCATAGATACACACACATCAATTTCAAACAGATGGTATCGGTATGGGCCGATACTGCACAGCCAGGTATCGGGGCGAAATAATGGCATCAGCGCAACACTATTTAATATCACATTATTCCACTTTGATTTTAAAAAGCACTGCAAAAACTATCTATACATAAGTAAACATTTCTTAAATGAAGTGTATTTCCCCTTAATTTGATAACGTAAAGAAGATGATTTGCCGATGGAATGAGTATTTCTACTCTTAATAAAAGATATTTATATTATATGCACTTGAAAAAAAGACAATGCAATTGTTTTTTCTTATTTCAAATGTAAATTGTATTATTTCATTGGCTAATTGTCTCAGTTACCTGCTCAGTTTAAGATAAAATGACTTATTTAGATTTCAACAACCAGGAGCTTTTCATACATGATACATTTGATCAAAAAAAAAATAAGAAGATAATTTCTAATGAATCAGTGGGAAAAAAATCAGTGGCAAGGAATAATCAATTGGTCATTATTCATACCTAAAACTAATACGTTTGT